TTTATTTGACCCGATAAAGTAAAATATATTTAAAGCAGTCCGAAAAATACAACTTTCGGGACCGATTGTGCACTTCTGGACAAAAAGGGTTGACCTCCCACTTGGGTGGGGGCCAACCCACGAATTTAACCTCATTTTTCAACACATTGGTCGGCTGAATTGAGAGGGAGGCATGGGTGAGGGATTGTGAATTGATAGAAAAGGGATCAAACAAAATGGGGTGGATCCCATCCACTCTTATTTGATCAATGAGACAAAAAGGGTTACCTCCACCCTTCTCCTACCTCATTCTCGGCCAACCCACCCAAGGAAAGACCAGAAAAAAACCATCTCCCTCCCTCCCCATTGTTGAAGGAAGCTCCAACAAGGAGGAAGCTCTAGGAAAAAGTTTAAGTTCCAAAAGTGTACAAAACTTGAGGAAAGGCTAGGTAATGACTTCATTTACCTTTCTCTTCTCTTTTTCTTGAATACATTATTATTTGAGAAATTATGAAGAACCCTAGGATTGTTCTCCATGTGATAAATGTGGGACAAGGGGTTGGAAGGTGGTTCTATGTCCAAAGGCGGACTTAGAAGCCAAACCGACAAGTTTACCGGAAAATAACCTTTTAGAGGTTATTTGTATTGATTAAGGTTTTATTATGTTAAAACCTTGTTAGGAACTTGATTAAAGTATTTTTGAGCTTCGCCGGAGTTTCGCCGGAGTTGGTCAAAGTTCGCCGGAGTTGGTCAAAATTCACCGGGATTAGTCAAAGTTCAATCGGGGAGCGTAGAACGCGCTTAAGCTCACTTAAGGTGAGGATGACCGACTATATTGCTTATAATCTCTGGGTTAATTTCATGAGATTCCCTAAATGAATATACAATGTGATTTGCATGGATTATTAATGGTTAATAATGCCTAAATGAAATTACTATTGATTATAAGTATAGTTTGCATAATATACAAATTTATTGAATAAATTGTGTATGTCTAAATGTTATGAATATGATGGCATGATAGTAGTATCAACCATAAATCCCATTTGCAATAAGTATACTTTTATTTCATGAGAAGAAGCCATGAAGGAATAAAAGTGATATTTTGATATTGAGGCCAAATTTCATATTGAATGATGAATTACATTGAAATGAGTAAATAACTAGTATTGAAATATTAGTTGGAGTTGTAGTTGAATAATGGATGAATGGATCCTAAGAAATTGAATTGTAAAGAATCGGTGATTATTGAGCTGGGCTCTAGACCGATGTAGATAACGGTGATTATTGAGTTGGGCTCTAGACCGTAGTAGTTATCGGTGATTATTGAGCTGGGCTCTAGACCGATGTAGATAACGGTGATTATTGAGCTGGGCTCTAGACCGTAGTAGTTATCGGTGATTATTGAGCTGGGCTCTAGACCGATGTAGATGACGGTGATTATTGAGCTGGGCTCTAGACCGTAGTAGGTAACGGTGATTATTGAGCTGGGCTCTAGACCGTGGTAAGTAATGATGAATTGACACTAAACGAATAAAGTTAACCATGATACAATAACACCCTAGATTGAGGGTCTTGGAAATTGAAACTTTGATTATACTTAGTATAGTTGTCATTGTACTTGTCAAATGCTTTCAAGTACTGACCTCCCCTTCACGGGGGAGGCCACCTCACAGTTTCAGGTAGAACTTGAAGGTTGCTGCCATCGCCCGCTTGTTTCGGGAAGATCAAGGAGAGAAGACGTGGTTCGTGCTTCCTCCGTTCCTGTTTTAAAAACATTTAAATTAATGCTCATGGATATTATATTTTTGAATGATCATTTGGGGCCTTGTATGCCCATATTTGCCAAAGTGTGGCACGAACACTTGTATTAAATGTTTCCGCTGCTTTGAATGAATATTTTACATTATGTTTGTTTATGGATGTACTATGTGTGAATGATATCCCAGACGCCTTGTATAGTATGAATGTGTTGAACTGCGGTTGACTATTCGTACTGTACGGCGGGTTGTTGACGTGTCCGGATAGGTCCGGGCGTGACACGATCGGCCACAGGACAGCTGCACTCCAGCTTGCAGGCGCGGCAGCATGGGCGAGGGCAGCTCGGGTACAGTACCAACCATGCGTCACCTCTCACCCACCAGGCAACAACACATCTCACGGACAGACTGTAGCAGGAGCAAGGACGGTCCAGATGCAGGTGTGAGGCCAATCGTCCGTCAACTCTTACCTGCTGAGCAATATTTGGACACTCTCTCACGGACAGACTTGGACTCACGCGGGACAGATGTGTGGCCACATACACTGCTCCATTCACCAGAAAATATGAGTGATATTTTAAATGGATCGGAAAGGGGACAAAATTCAAGTCAACAATCCAGACTTGATTCAACTGATCTGACCAGTCCAGCTACACCCATTCTAGACGCGGGTGAGATAAGAAAATGTAACAGAATTCGGAAGATACCCAAGCACCTAGACGAATTTGATGTTAACCTACTGCCCTCTCTGGATCATTCACACGCAGTCAACAATCAGGCCGACCCGACCGTACATCCAATTTCTAACTTTATTAGTTATGAAAGGTTTTCTACTAAGCACAAAGCTTTTCTTACGGCCATCACTTCTCGTGATGAGCCCAAACATTTTTCGCAGGCCATATTAGATCCCATGTGGCAGGAGGCCATGCGAAGGGAGATCAGTGCCTTAGAAGCAAACGGCACGTGGAAGTTGGTCCAATTGCCGCCAGGAAAGAAAGCAGTAGATTCTAAATGGGTCTATAAAATCAAATATAAACCTAATGGCGATGTGGAACGATACAAAGCTAGATTGGTTGCAAAAGGATTCACCCAAGTCGAAGGAATCGATTTTCACGAAACCTTTGCTCCAGTTGCTAAACTTGTCACAGTAAGATGTTTGTTAGCCGTTGCGGCTAAACGCAATTGGGAGGTGCATCAATTAGACGTCAACAACGCATTTCTACACGGAGATCTCTCCGAGGATGTTTATATGCGCATTCCCCAAGGATTTACCAAAATTGGTGACACCCGTGTTTGCAAGTTGCAAAAATCTCTCTATGGTTTACGTCAAGCATCTCGTAATTGGTATCACAAGTTTACTCAATCACTTCTCAAAATCGGATTTCACCAATCACGGGCGGACCACTCTTTGTTCATATTTCAACAAGGACGGACCCTCACTTTTGCCCTAATCTACGTAGATGATGTCATCCTAGCCGGAAATGATGTGTCTCATATCAACAAAATTAAAGGATACTTGAATGACTAGTTTATTAGCATCAAAGATTTGGGTACACTAAAATATTTTCTCGGAATCGAGGTCGCTCGTTCTCCCGAGGGTTTTGTACTAAGTCAACGCAAATATACGCTTGACATACTAGAAGAGAGCGGCCTCCTTGGAAGTCGTCCTAGTTCGTTCCCCATGGAACAAAATTTGAAACTTCGACCTGATGATGATAGCCCACCAGTTGACGCTTCCACATACCGTCGATTGGTGGGGCGTTTATTGTACCTCACAGTTACTCGTCCTGACATCGTCTTTTCTGTCAGTCAACTTAGCCAATTCCTCAGCAAGCCGCGCCAGTCTCATTTTGACGCCGCCGTGCGTGTTCTACGCTATTTGAAGCAGACCCCGGGGCAGGATATTTTCTTATCGGCAGACACCGATCTCTCTTTAAAGGGCTATTGTGATGCGGACTGGGCAGGATGCTCTTACACACGCCGCTCTAGCAATGGATATTTTATCACTCTTGGCAACTCACCAGTCTCTTGGAGAACGAAGAAACAATCCGTTGTTTCTCGTTCTTCCGCAGAAGCAGAATACCGTGCCATGGCTGTCACAGTTAGTGAAATTTTATGGTTATGAAATCTCACAGTTCCTCAGTCTGGCCCCACATCTCTTTTTTGTGACAATCAAGCGACACGACATATTGCACTCAACTCTGTTTTTCATGAACGCACCAAGCATGTTGAAATGGACTGTTATTTTGTTCGTGAATGTATGGCAAACAGAGAAATCCAACCATGTTGCATCTCCACAACACACCAAATTGCTGATATTTTTACTAAAGCTCTTGGCACTGATCGTTTCCAGTTTCTTAGAAGCAAGTTGGGTGTTCGTAATCTTCACACGCCACCTTGAGGGTAGGGATGGACTCGGGCCGGGCCAACCGGCCCGCTACTGTGCGGGCCCGGACCGGCCCGGTGAACCGGTTCGTGCCCGGTTCGGGCCTCCCGGCCCGGTGGTAAAGCGGTCCGGGCCCGGGCCTCCAGTTTAGTGAACCGGCCCGGCCGGGCCCAGTTCGGGCCGGAATTTAAATTTTTTTTTTGGATATTTTTTTAAGTTTTGGGTTGGATTAGGTATTTTGGGCCATTTGAGGTGGTTTGGGGTGGTTTGGGAGGGGTAGGGGGTTAAATAAGAGAAGAAGAAAAAAAAAATTAAAAATCCGGGTGGCCCGGCCCGGAACCGGACCCGGAACCGCCCACCACCGGTTCGGGCTCGGGCCTCATTTTTTTGAACCGAGGCCCGGCCGGGCCCGGGCCCGAACCGGAACCGGTCCACCCCTACTTGAGGGGGAGTATTGAGAGTATTGGTCCCATAATATATTTCCATAGTGTGTGATGTTCCCTTACTGTTAAGCATTTGTACATGGGTGCATAGTTCTCATGGCCCATATCTTATTTTTTTTGTATTATTACATTTACTCATTGCACTATATATGTAACATGCATGCATGGAAACAAGAACTTACGAAGCATTCTTCTCTACATGAAGTTTTATGCTCTCAATAATATCTCTTACTTCTATCATTCATTTCCTTAAATTTAACAACAAATGCTCATTTTCAACTAATACAGGTAATCACTAATTTTTTTCCAACAGAAAAACGGATAATCTTCTATGTTACAACATCTTATAGAAAGGGCAAAGAAAAAATGATGACATGTATATTACAAACCGAATTACTCCAAACAAAAATATGACTAGTACTGTTTTCGGGAGTCACATTCTAGGAAAATTTTAAAATAAGTCATATTTTTATCTTTTGAATTTAATTTAGTAATATTCATGAAGAAAGGCCAATGACAAATTCTGAAGCAAGAACAGTTTGTTGATTCTATCCCACCCAGAAACACAACTTATACACAATCATTTATTATCATGGGGACATTGAGGATGATGTAAAGAAGATTATTGAAGATTATAATATACTATGTACAAATATAGTCAATCTTCTTCATCACCAGACAGATCCCCCCAACGAACATTATGCTTTGCAGCAAGATAGTAGGCCCCAACAGGACCCCTGCTGCCATATGGGTACATCTCAGGTCCAATCTTCTTCTCTTCCATTTCTTTCAACAAAGGTGTAAACAATGCCCAAGCAGCATCCAGCTCATCACTTCTTATGAACAGCCTGCGCTCTCCCTCTATGGCGTCCAACAGCAGCCTCTCATATGCATCTGGTATTTCACTTCGATACCTTTAAAAAACATGACAGTTCAGTAATGAAGTCTATCATGTTATTGCTTTGGTTAGGCAAATAGATAAATGGTAAAGAATTCAGTAGGCAAAAAATAAGTATGAGAGGGGAAATAGTTGATATTTGTTGTGGACTTATTCGCCCCATACTTTAGGGATATTGTTATGTGGATTGTTATGTAGAGAAAAACACTCAGTCTCAGATTAAAATGGTAATGGTTCCAGATTTTCTTCACTTCCCAACTTTTCTCTCTTTTTAGACAGATTTTAAGGCGGGTCTCACATGGAATTTTCTCCACCTTTTTTTCTCCATGCAAACAACAAAAAGTTTGATTTTCTCCCACATTCATTTCTTACCTAATTCTTTACTCCCAAAGTCATATTGTACAAGAAAAAGCTACATGATAACTCATGAAGATGTGCTTAATAATGCAATGGCAAGGCGATTTTTCAATAAATATTGAATATTTGGTTATTACGATGTTGCAGATAGTTTTTCCCCAAATAAAGTGGTAAAGAAAATTGAAAAAAATTGTTACTTTGCTTTGTATAAAAGATTAAGGTCACTCCGGTCAAGTCTCATCCCTAGACCGGGAATCTTGTTGTTGATTTTCAAGTAAATGGCTTCATCTGGTTGTAAGCGAAGCACCAACTCATTTGTTGCTTTGTCCAAATCAGTTCCAAAGTTTTTCTTGAACAAATTTCCAGGAACGTGTCTGAATTGAACCCTGATCTCTGCTCTGCATTTTCACAACAACAAGAAAGAATGCATGTGAATACTTTCCCAGATTTTTAAAAAATGTAAAGTTAATTTCTACATACCGCTTAGTGTGCAGTGCTTTTCCAGCTTTCATAAGGAAAGGAACCCCGTCCCAGCGGGCATTATTAATGAATAAAGCTAAAGCAGCAAAGGTTGGGGTAATACTGTCTTTGGGCACAGTTGGGTCATCTGTATATCCTGGATAGGACTTTATACCCTTGCTATACCCTTTATACTGCCCTATAACCACATCTTCAAGCTGCAATGGCCTCATCGATCTTAAGACTTTCACCTAGGGTATGTTTGGAACATGTGAAAATGCAAAGAGAAATTAGTTTGGCTTTAACTAGGATATGCAAGGGGCAATGAAATACCATTATTTATTTTCCATATATTTATAATTCTTAGAAAATATCATAGAAAATTAAAAAAAATAATTTGAAAAAGTATCTATGATAAATTTATTGACATGACTCATGAGCTTATATTTTTTCTTTCCATCCAACTATCCGCTTTCTTTTTCTCTATATTCTTAGAGAAATTATGAGAATAGTTTGTTTCTCCGAAATTCAAGCCATCTATGATTGTAAACTTCATGAACTCTATATCCATTGCATAAGGGATGGATAAGAAGAGAGATAATATATGTACGAGGACAAGATATGTATTGTAAAAGTATTAGAAACCTTTTCATTTCGGACATCTTCAGCATCCAAGCTGATGGGTGGTTCCATTGCAAACAATGCTAATATTTGAAGCAAATGGTTTTGCATAATGTCTCTGATGATCCCATAATTGTCAAAGTATCTGTTAAAAAAGAGAGGCTAAATTAATGGGTTGGAAATTCAAAAGCAATACTATTCAACTGAAGTTTTGAACTACGATCATTAGAAGATTGTGCCTCACCCTCCTCTTCCCTCAGTACCAAAATCCTCAGAGAATATAAACTGCACACTGCGAATGTAATCTCTGGACCAGAGAGGCTCGAAAACAAGATTTGAGAAACGAAGAACTGAGAGGTTCTCCACTAGCTCCTTTCCCAGGTAATGGTCAATTCTTAGTCAACCAAAAAAGAAGAAGATAACTTTACTAAATTGCACATAAAACATAAATTATAAAAGAGCATATAAAAAACTTACCTGAATATTTGTTCCTCAGCTAAATACTTCATTAGACATCCAGTTAGCTGTCTTGATGACTCTGAATCACGTCCAAACGGTTTTTCAACTATGACCCTTGTCCAACCACTTGTTGAAGATGCTTTGCCACTTGCATATTTCACCACATCCACGAAAATATTGGGAGGTATTGACAAATAAAACAATCTATTAGAGACTCTATCACCCTATAAAGAAAATTGCATAGTCAGGAAAATCTGTATAATGAACAAATCATAGAAAAGCAACCATATTGAAACAGAGGAATTATCTTCCTTTACATTTAAAGATGTGTGTTAACTAACTCCTATATAACCAATCCAAACATAGCCAGTATGTCCCACTCGAAAGTGGGGTCTGGAAAGGGTGAGATGTATGCAGACCTTACCTCTATCCTTAGGAGTAGAGAGGTTGCTTTCTTGATTACTCTTAGATCAACATATGGAAAATTAAATTCCAAGAATATTTGATGTAGTTTCACAAGAAAGGTGTGAAGGTTTCTTATTCTGCATTTTAGTACTTTATTTTACATGCCCTTGTTCATAGAAAAGATAATGCAAAGCAGTTTCTTATTCTGAATCATGTCACTAACAGCTCAAGTTTCAGCCATAGGAAAGTATCTAATGGGTTAGAAGTTAGAACTCCTTTTACCACAGAACTACTGTTGAGTAAGAATGTAAGAAACTGACGAAGTTTTGACAGAAAGTATCTCCAAGAGAAGAACATTTCTCCTTTCTACTTATAATGGTTTTTCTGTAACAGAAGGAACTGATGATTTTTGAATGATCATTAGATGACACTGAAGATGCATAAAGATTGTTTTTATTCATCATCCTTTTGTTTTGTGGTTGAAAAGAAGTCTCTAATGTATGCTCTTTTTGCGGTTTCTTAGATAAATTCACAATATAGATGATTTGCTTCTTTACCCAAACCATTTAGATGAATTAGAGCACTTTAACCCAAGCTTCTTAACCCAAACTTTTTTTGGCATTTGATTAAGGGAAAAGTAAGAGCTAGTAAGGTTTTAGCACTACACCTCCTTTTGTTTTAGTTTTCTGTCCAGCTCTGCAAAATGTTCCTCAGAACTGTATTGACCGGAGAGATAAAAGCATCTTTTCAGAAACAGTTCCATCTTGACATCACAATTCTCCCTGCACACTCACATCACATGGACCAAATTAAGAAAATTCCTTAAATTGTAAATGGGTGGCACGTTCAATGTCAATAACAATGTGAAAGACAGCAGACCCCTTATCAACTCTGCAATTTAAAGTTGTACTGATCATGTCTCGTAGTTCCTCATCGTTCATTTTAGTCCGAGCATAACCAAAGACAACGAAATTCTGCCAAGGGTAAAAGGTGTATAATGAGTCGTCAGAGCCTCCACAATACTTTATATGTGGACTAGTAAAACTCCATAAAACTAGGGATTTGACCTCAGGTAGATAATCTTCATAGAAGAGTGCAAACAAAGCTGGAAATATTTTCTTCTTGGCAAGGTCCCCAGAAGCTCCCACAACAGTTATGCTAAGCATTGACTGTGCTTTTGTCAAATCCAATAATGGAATCTCTTCTGGCAACATTCCAGCCGGGCCTTTCCCAAACACACACTAACATCAGGGACCCCCATAGTCCAATAGTCACTTAAAGTGCTGTTTGGATGGAGTTATCTTATGGGAGGGTTTTGGAGGACTAAAGTCTCTCTCTTGATATGTAATTGAGATTTTATAATAGCTGAAGGAAAACAATCATAGGTTATAATCCTAGAACAATTCACTCTAACATTTTTACTCGCTTCAACATTCTACTACCTCCGCATCAAAATAACTTTCCGAGATTCCTTTTTGGGATGTATCAAATTAATTGTCTCATTTCCCTTTTTAGAAAGAAATGTACCGTAAAAGCTGCTGCAGTAATGCCAAGTACTGCTACCGTAATTATCTTAAACTACTTGAAAAAAAATGGGACAAATAATATGATACGGAGGGAGTATTTATGAAGAATTCAAGATATACACTAAGAAGCCCTCCAAAGCCTTACCTCCCAAAACCTTCCAAATATAAACTGACCCTATGTAATTTCATTAAGATTGACAAACAATAAGTATCCAATCGCAATCAACTGTCCCATTGCAGATTTGCAGTACTAGCTCAATGCTGTTCTCATGCAAGTCAAGGTTGACAAATGAATATGTAAGTTGGTAAAGCATAGCTCATTGGAATTCCCATAAAGTTTAGATCATACAAAGCAATATAAAAGTAGACCCACAAATCACCCACAATTTAATTACTCTGGAATGAAGAATAACATAAAACAAGTACAGTATATAGTGCAAGGGCACCAAGCTTACCGTCCTGCCAAGACACGGCATTGAGGGAGCAACCATTGGAAGACATTAGCTCAAAATGATTTTTTGGATGAATTTCATCATAAATTCCAGAGACCCTGTTAGGGTAACGAAATACAGGCGGCGAAATGGTGAGGTTAATTGAATGAGAAAACGTTCCGCGGTGGTGTGAGAATGCAGGAGAAGGGGGAGAGTAAGGGCAAAATTGCAGGTGTTTAGCCATGGCAATCATTGAAAAGAAGCTCTAACCGCATAAACCGATGTGAAAACAAAAAAATATGGAGTAGTCTATATTGAACAAATTAATTGATACTCCGTATAATATGCAGAAGGCAGAAGCTTGTTAGATCCGCATACAACTTGCAAAATGCAGTCTTGAAAGAAGAGTCATGCTTATGAGTTGCTGACAATCATGAAGCAAGAGTAGGAAGAGATAAATCGATAATACACGTGAGGTGAAGATATTTCCTCATCAACCACGACTTTATGGTTTTCACATTTATAAATGCTAGGGTGGAAACATTGTGGTCTATCGCACACATGTGTCAAAAAAAAGTGTGTAGAAACACATTTATTATTTATACATGTGGAAACATTTTATTCTCTATTGTGTTCTCTACTATTGAACATTGAGACTATGTGATCAAACATATTCATGGAACATCAGAACTATGCGTTGAGCATTAAAGCATCTTCATTGAGCATCATGTTCTCTACTTTTGAGTACAGAAACTATGTGAACAGGATTCAACCTGGTCGTGAAGAACTCCAAGTGGACCATCGGTGGTCGCTTGAGTTTCATCAGGTAGGAGGAGAGCACGACCAGTGAGCAGGAGTCTGGTGCAAGACAAGCCCCTGGCCATCTGGGTGCGAACAACGAGTCGTACATCAAGCGGCGAGCCGTCTATCTAGGGTGCGAGCAGAAAGCAGCCGTCTAGGTGCGAGCGGCTAGCATGGGTGCGGGCGGCGAACGGCGAACCTGAGTGCGAGCAGCAAGTCGTCCATTTATGTAATGGTGATGAGCAAAGCGTAGCTACAACAAAAAAGCACGGATGTACCGTGAGCATGGTACATCTGACTATACGATATAATTTGCATCAGTGATGGGAATTCGAGGAGCAGGCTAAACAGGAGTCCGTATACCGTACAATCGGTTGTACAGCGAGCATCGTACGGTCGGTGGCATTTTGGTAATTTAAGTGAAATTCACGGTTTCTGCTAAATGAGCATTAATGAACTTTTAATGAGCATCTGACATATTTTGTGGATTATTAGAAGTCTAATATTAAGCATCGTGATCTCTGCTTCATATCTTCCATTCACTTTACTTTTCTTATTTCTTGTATAAAAAAAGTACTCCCTTCGTCCCTTATAACTTTGCCAACTTTCCTTTTTTGTCATTTTTCCTTTAAAGTAAGATTTTTGTGGTTTCAATTAATTCTCTCTCCTCTACACAAAGCCCAATCACACATTTTTTACTTTATTAATCCACGTGCCGGTCAAAACTTGGCAAAGTTATTAGGAACGGAGGGAGTATTGAATTATATCTATAATCAACTCATATGAATTTTAATATGTGAATCTAATGTAGTAACTTTGAAATATGCATTGATGTGAAAATTATAAGCTTTGCAAGATTTGCATCAAGACATTTTCATTGAGCATCAAATTCTCTCTGTTGAGCACTCGAACTCTGTAATTGAGTATATATAATTTAAAAACCTCATTTGAGCATAAAAACATTTTCACTTAGGATATTATTTTATACTATTGGGCATCAAGATTATGTGTATTGAGTATTAAAATTCTCAAATAAAGTATACAAAACGTCAAAACTTCAGTAAGTATCAAAACATGTTCAGTGAGTATCGTGCTCTTGACTATTGAGTATCGAGACTATGTGCATGTATTGAACATTGGAACTCTGCAATTCAATATAAAACTTTCAAAAACTCATTTGAGCATCAAAACATATTCATTTAGTATCATATTTTCTACTATTGAGCATTGAGATTATGTGAGCAAGCTTCAATCTAGTCGCGTGAGTTTCATCGGCATTGATATGACATTTTAAAATGAGCATAACGCCATGATGTGAGTTTTCTCGCACTTAAAAAGATTTTAATATAGTGGTGTAAGTACGAGTATCGTCTCCACAGGGACGGACAAAAGGGAATTAAGAATTAACTAAATTCAGCGATTAAAAATAAATAAATAAAAAATGCGTCGTGCGAGATATGATTGGTGAATTAAAATTAAACTAATGCGAATGAACGATTAAAATAAAAGTGGTTTCTTCTCAATTAACGACGAAGGGAACAAGGATTGATTCCGGGGTAACCAGATTTCTGGCAGATCAGGCCTAATTACATGAAATTGATTTAATTGAGCCTAGCTAATCATTACTAAGTTCTTACCGCTCTCGCGGCGTAGAGTACAATAATTTAGGGGACCAGGCTGATCTCTCATGCGACAGGATCCTAAATTATTGCCAAGACGAGCGAGCTTACGGCTCCTTAATCACTACTAATCTCTTAGCGAACGATTAAGTGTGTGTGAATGTGTCCCAGAACAAATTAGATCTCTCTTAATTTATTCTACATGCAATTGTAATTCTAGCCGCGGTTCCAGGTTACAAAAGATATCAGTTAAATTATTCAAACACAAATTAAACGGCATTCATGCAATTAAACCGACAAGAATCTAGCCATCAATCATTATTAACCCCTTCATCAATCCCAAATCCCTAATTAAACTATTCACAATTCATAATTGAAGAATCAACAGAATTGGGATGAATAGAAATAATTGTCATTAATTAAAAAGATGAACTTACAAATAATCCCAGGGTGTTGGAGTAAACAATCGTAAAAACGCAAGTAAATTCGTTCCTAGGTCTCTCCGTAATGTTCGTAACCATAAAAAAGGGTTAGAGAGGCCTTATTTATAGAAAAAGGGGGGAAAATATGAATTCGGGCCGATTTGGGATTCAAGTTTGCGTCACCCGGTGCTACGCACGGCGTGCTTCCCCACTACGCACGGCCGTGCGTAGCTGGCAGTAGCTACCTTGCTTTTCTCGCCTCAGACGCACGGTCGTGCGTTCCCCTACGCACGGCGTGCGTAAAACTTCCGAATTTGACAAAACTTTCTTCATGAAAGTTGTAGATAATGAAGTCTTCTATCCACCCCAATTTGCCGAATGTGATTTGAATCATCCAATCAAGAGATATGATCCAAACGGTGGAAGGTGTCATTCTGAGATCGCTGCAGAGATCATCTGACTTCATCGTCTGTTTTCATCTTCTTCCTCTCAGATTCTAGGATTTATGTCTTCATATGATTTGTATCTCTTGAAGTTGGCTTTCATGTGGACTTTGAATCGTGTTCTTTGGATGCTTATACAAAGAGATATGCTTGAACGACTAACCAAAGGTCATCCTGAATGCCGTTTTCAAGCTTCATTCATCTTCTTTTTGATCCCATAGCCAATCCTAGAGCTCTTTTGTCATTAAATCTTCATCATAAACCTACCGGTGACCTCCATAGCTCTCAAATCAACACTCAAATGCATCTCGAATCATCCCGATTGCTCCTCAAGTGCCGATGTTGAACTCTAAAATCCTGATTTTGACTCCAAATGACACAAAACTCGAACCAACGCCTGTTAAACATAACTTGAGCTAAAATTGAGACTTGTAACACCTTAAAGCTAGGAAAACCATCAAAAGCCGATCCCAACACGCATCAAATGCGTGTCTAAATACGGACTTATCAGATTCCCCCACACTTAAGCCTTTGCTTGTCCTCAAGCAAACTAAACAACGGGACTTACGATAATCACCACACGAAATCAAAACAATTAGCATGCACACGTAGTTAAAGGGATATTCACAGGACAGATAATTTAAACCAAGAAAATTCTTCCCTAAACTACATCTTTGTACTCAAACTAAACTATTTGACACAATTATTCACAACATCTTCAAAATAATGGCAGCATACACAAATAAGCTAGCTACTGATCAGAAGGACTCGTGAAGGTGGCGGTGAATGGATAATAATAATAATAGTCCCTTCATTTTGAGAGATAGGAATATTTTAACAAAGACTCAATGCATTCAGGAACATCAGGGCTATTCTTAGGAACAAGGAACTCAGTAGGCCACAAATTAGGAACAATCATTTAAACCTATGCAAAGAGTAGACATGGTGTACAACTAAGCTAAACCGTCTCGGCACATTTGTGCTTTGACGTATACTTGAAGTACGCGGAGGACTAAAGCTAATTTTTCAATAGCCTCCAAGTTCAATTAATTAAGTTTAGTTTTCCTTGTCATGTTGGCACGAGAACGCCGTTTCTTTCGAAAGATACCCAAGTCTCATCTTACGCTTTTTGACCGGGGCTCCCATTCTCTTTTTCGCAAAGTAAGAGGTCTAGCTATATTAATTTTTCACCTTTCGGATTCTCACTAGACATTACCCCATTCTAATCTCGGCCTCACCAAGGAAAAATAGCAATTTAAGTTCATTTATTTCAAAGTGAATCCATGCCTACAATGCAATCCTCGAAAGTATCAAATTCCTAAAAAGTGACTGCTCTTACCCCATTTGGGGCATAGGAACAGTGCCAAAAATGGCTCCTGCACACAATTCCCTAACTTAACAAATTAATCCCTTAATTCCCTAAACATCATGACTAAGTCAGAAATATTCACGGGTAAGGAAACAGGCCATTTGGCTATGGAGCTCAAATAATCGGGTAACAATAAACGGGCAGGCTTAAAATGGCTTCTCCTAAAGGGTCTTATTCAGGTGGGGTGGATGATTAATGGATAATTCATGGGTGACTAATGCTTTCATCCTTTGAACAACTAGATTACCATGCAAGCAATTTAAGCCTAAACATTTCAAAGATGTTCTAAAAGCATAGTCAAAATGCTTGCCAGCTCACAAAGACACAATTTAAAAAAAAATTTCAAAATTTTGACATGAATTTCCTATGAATATACAACTAACACCTGCGCATGCTAACTCTAATAAATCACATATAACAACTACTGCCCGAATGCCCAATTCACTCCCCCACACTTAAACTTTGGCATCGTCCTCGATGACCAAATATGCATTATGTATTAGGGGTAAAGAGGAAAGGGTCACGCGTGCTCAAAATCAACTCAAGTTAACATTACGCATCGAATAAATAGAATCATGGAAACTTCCCTATCGCGCTGGTCGGTGCAGAACTAAATTGAGTCAATGATCCTCGGCACATCATCCCCAAAGCAAGACCCTGAGCTCATAAGCTCTCAAATTGCAAAGATTGTAGTGGTGCACTAACAATCAACGTTTCCAGCTTCCTTTCTACAAATGCCATTAAGTGGCGCAGATCCTTAAATTCTCTAATATGCGTAGGCAGCACATGGTCTTCATAACCCTCAATAGCACAGAAGTGAAGTATGAAACTCTCATCCTCTTCAGGTGGGTAGGGAACAGGAGTGAAAGCTTTGATTACTCTAGGTGTCACTGGAAGCTC